TATAATAATACTGTAATAGTAACCCTTGTGGACAAATATTTACTGCTAATTTGGATTTCTTTATAAGATTGTTTCTCAATAAGAGAATTACTGAACTATAGATATGCCTGCACATTTAAACACTATTTTGTACTTGTCAGTTTGAAAAAAGTTGAAGTAGTTTACATTCCCTACAAAGGCTCAATAGAATTATTTTATCTAATAGCCACCTACATATTGTCACTAAGACAAACTCTACTACCACAATCACCACCACCAAAAACTTTGCCAATTTGGCAGCCAAAATTTTAGATGATTTTAATTTGCATTTCTTTTATTAGTGAGATGGCTTGTTTTCTGTCAGTATTTCTTCTTTAGCTCATTTCTTGTCCTTGTGTCTTTTTTTTTTTTTTTTGGTCTTTTTGAGATGGTCTCGCTATGCAATTCAGGCTGGCCTTGAGCTCATGTGTCTGTCTTGAACGAAGTGTTTTCTTATGTATATCTACTAAATAATATGTTCTAAAATATCATTATTTTGTCAAGGGTGATTTTTTGTTTGTTTGTTTGTTTGTTTGTTTTTTGTCTTTTTGAGACAGGGTCTTGCTATGCAGTTCAGGCTGAACTTGAGCTCACTTTGTAGCCCAGGCTGGTCTCAAATTTGCAATGATCCTCCTGTCTCAGCCTCCTGAGTGCTGGGATTACAGGTGTGAACCACCATGCGCAGTTTTAGGTGTATTTTGCTTAATTTTAAAATTCAATTCGTGTAAAATTTCAACCTGTGACAGGATTCTCCACTTTTTTGTCATCAAATATCTTTGTTTCTTTTTTGGGTCTTATACATTTTTATTTTATTTTTTTGGTGTGTGTCTTTTTGAGACAGGGTCTTGCCATGAAGTTCAGGCTGGCCTTGAGCTCACTTTGTAGCCCAAGCTGGTCTCAAACTTGCAGTGATCCTCCTGCCTCAGCCTCCTGAGCGCTGGGATTACAGATGTGTGCCACCACGCCCTGCCTACATTTTTATTTTAAAGTTATGTATAAAGTGTATAGCTTAGTGTTTTTTAAGTGAATCCACACAGTTGTGTAGCCATCACTATTATCTAGTTGCAGGACATATTATTGTGCCAAAAATATTCTATATCTACTATTGTCCATTCCCCATTTCATCCCCATTTATTTTCTGACTCTATAGACCTGTTTATTCTGGACACTTATTGTAAATGGAATCTTGTAATTTGTGGCTTTTTGTGCCTGACTTCTTTCACTTAGTATAGTGTTTTCAAGGTTCACAACCCAAATGTTCATCAGATGAGTGAATGAATGAGCAAAATGTAGTACATATCCATTCAACGGAATATTATTCAACCATAAAAACAATAAACTATTAACAATACTATAATATGAATGAATTCTGTGCATTCCTTTTCAACTCAAAGAATCTGTTTTCTTCCAGATATTAGTACACCACATACTAATATTTTCTCATTTTTATGATTTAAGTCTTTCCATCTAGCTAACTTTACCTAGCTGGAAAAATTTTGGTGAAAAGTAAGAGGTAATTTTTGGCTTTCCAAACAATTGTTTCAGCATAGTGTGTTGACTGACTCGTGGCTTGACCCTAAGTTAATGAGGGTGCTACACGAATACTACTCTCAGGGAGCACAGCTGACCAAGGGCTGCAGCGGCTGCCCTCTGACATCCACCACTGTGTCTGTGTTCTGAGGCTGCCCACAAAAGTTTGAGCGAAGCAGGCGGTGAAATCAGGCCTGCTCGTTGGAAAGCGGGTGCTCCTGTGTTGACATTGCTGAACTTCTCTAACAACTGCATTGCAGTTTAAGATACCCCCATTCATCTTTCTATTCTCTCTCCTTCTCCACAGGTCAGGCCTGCATTGAGTCTATGCTGGTTTGGATGTTGAGTGTCCTACAAAGGCACATGGTTAAAGGTATGGTCCCTCCCTGTGGTGCTGCTGGGGACTGGTGGAACCTGTGGGAGAAGGGGCCTCCAGGGAAGAAGTTGGGTCACAGAAGACACTGCTCTTGAGGGGAAGTTGAGATCCTGGCTGCTTGCTCTGTCTCTCTTTGCTTTCTGGAGATTATGAGGTTGAAAAACCGCCTCATCTACTATGTGCCTCACTATGGTGTTCAGTGTTGCCGCAGGCCCAAAGCAACAGTTCAGTCAACCACAGGCTCAGACTTCTGAAGCCATGACCCAAAATAAACCTTTCCTTTACTAAGCTGATTATCTCAGGTATTTTGTCTCAGTGACAGAAGGCTGATTAGCACAATCTAATAACCCTCTTGACTTATTCCACTTCCCACCTGTTTTATCACAAGAAGCATTTCCTCTGACACATTTCTTGCTTGTTTAATATTGTCTTAGCTTAGTTATTTTTATAGTGTATATTTATTTGTAATACACTTTTATTTTTAAATTTCTTTATTAGTACATGTTTGTACTACATACTGTTTACATTCCTTGTGTGAGTCAGGTTGTTCTCCATGCGAACTGCTATACTTCATTATTTATTTATTTTTTTACTACTGGGAATTGAACTCAGGACCTTGTGCTTGCCAGGCAGGTGCTTATGCCACTGAGCTATACCTCTGGTCCTATACTTCCTTATAATTTTAACTTTTAATAATCACATTTATTTTCTGATCTGTGCTACCATTGTAGAAAATTTGCAATATCTAGAAAATTTACAGAAGAAAAAGTTATCTGTAATTCACTCATATATATATGGCCATGATTCTATTGTGGATTTATTTTCAGTGATTTCATGTTCTTACAAAATTGAAATGTACTTAAAATTTTCTTTGTTTTTTTTTATGTTAGGATTTTCCTAACATCATTAAAATATATTTTGACTTTACATGAATTTAAGGGCTGCATATTATTTCCCATTGTTCACATTTCTAATTGTTCATGACTGCAAAGCACAGTGCAATAATGTCCCTGGCCATTTAATTTTGGCATGATATGTCAAGAACTAATAATTTGCTGACAGGAGAGGAAAGTAGAAGGCCTTGTTGTCAGTCTTTGCCTCATTCTCCTTCTGATCATGCCTGATTTTGCTACATTCTTCCTCAGTTTTGAGAAGCCATAGAAACAAGACATTTATGTTAATGTAGTGTACCTTACCACGCTGGTTTAGGATAATTTGCTACTTAACTTTCATGGCTTCTCACGTCAAAGCATTAAGTGTGGTGGGTATTAGTTTGTAAGGGAAGAGAAATACATTCTCTATGGTATTGCATTATGTTTGAAAGCTAGGCAATATGCAATTCAGCAAATGTCAGAGTAGTTCAGGATTCCTTGTTGTTCCACATATTGCCTATGACCATCTTTTCACTGACATTAATACTGTTACAGTGAGCTTTATTATGCCTAAAATTTGCTTTGGATTTCAGTTGTTGTCATCATTTAATGGCTAGCTTATTTTAGATAAATTATTTTACAGCTCAGAGCCTTGCTTTCCTCATGTATAAAATGGAAATAATAACACATATTGCAATAAGATTGCTATGAGAATTCAAATAAATAATGTCTGTGAAGTACTTATTACAGTTTATCATGTAGTAGGTGTTCAGTAACTGGAATGGAAGCTAAATTATGTGATTGACTATAGTTATTTATTTTTATATTTGTTAGATTTTTGTACCAGAGTGAAATCTAATAAGCATTTGGTAAATATTATTCTATCAGTCATCTATTTCAGTTAGTGGAATAGTTTGCACAATATGAGAAATGATTCTCCCTTCAAAAATTTGGCAGAAGATATATCCAGTACAGAAGGTTTTAAAGTAAGACTCTTCAACTACTATTAGTATTATTGGTTTGATTTCTAAACATATATTGTTTCCAAACCTCACTTGCACAGTGAATTTCCTTATGTTCTCTGCATAACACAAGTAATATGACATTGTGAAAATGTAAACCTTTTAATGTGTTCAAAGTAACCCAGTATAATTTCCACTTAGCGGGTACACTCAAGTACTTGAGAACTGAGTGTTGTTTTCAATTGCGCTCCTTAGCTTAAATTTTGCTGGCACTATGTTTTTATTTCTCAAATTTTAACCTTTATTTGTTTATGATCAAAAGTGACAGTGATCAACAGTGTAGAAATTGGCACACTGTAAATAAACTGATTGAAAATTAAGTTTCTAAGCCTGTTAGAATGGGCAGGTTTTGTGTCAGCATGATGAGACAGAAGTCAGTGGCTGAAGGACAAAAACTACCAGGAGCAGCAAGATCTTTTTGTCCTTATGATCTCTCCCACAATGCAGGTTTTGCTTTGTGTGAGAGCAGGTCTCTTAGAAGATGGAGGCAATTTGAACGTTAATTTCCTATGTTTAAGTAAAATCTAGTATTTGGATTTGTTTTCCAAACTCAAAGGAAGTCTTTATGGTGAAATTAGTACAGTGTGTAGATAGATGAAGCATGGGGAACCCAGGAACAGCTTAGCTTTCTCTTGCGAAGACTCCATCCTCGGTTTGCAGCAGGCATCAGGAACACAACTCTGGTGAACCTTTCCCATTTGGTTTTCTCCTTCTCTTTTTCTTTCTTTCCCTGCCCCTCTGCCTTCCCCCAAAGTAGCGAGTTGTATAATGTGGCCAAGTACAAACTCCTTATTCGTCTTCCAGTTACTGCACTTACTCTAGTTGTGAGAAGGAAAGGGAACATGCCAGTTTGCAAACCATGGTCATTTTATAACCTCATCCTCCCTCCCTCCTGCTGAATCCAACAAGTTGATGTACACAGCTTTCCAAATGTTGGGAAAGGAATTACCCAAACCACACTTAACACCAGGACAGAATTCTCTGGGGAGAGTACTAGGCATAACCATTTCTCTTTCATGAAATAAAGGAAGCAGACCTAGAAGGAGGGGCTCTTTCATTGTACAGTAATTGCTTGGTGTGCTGTATGTGACTGTGTATTGTGTGACAGTAGCATAGATGAAAGATCATTAATTCCCTTTATCATTTCCTGGTCACCTCATAAAATGGCACTATCCAGCAAAATGCTATTTAGTAGCAAAATATATTTTAATGGAAAAATTATTTTAAGTAACTGAATAAAAACGTGTTCCAGGAACTTTCCCAATAGACAGCAGAGTATGTACATTTCATGAGGGTGGAGCAGCATCTATTTAATATAATTTTTATATAGAAAATACAGGAATATTTAAAAATGGAAACATGTAAGAAAGGATGTCAAAGGAGTAATAAAATATGTCACAAAATAAAAAATAAACTTCAAATAACAAGTTGACTGAACAAAACAAGCCTCAGCACCATGTTGGATTTTCTTCGTGGTTAAGTTGCAGGAAGTTGAGGTGCTACCAGGAAGAGATGATCTTGCATAGACATCTGGTTCGGTTTGTGGTATTTAAAACCCAGTCCTTCTTTTCCTGAAAAAAAAAAAAAAAATCCCAGTGTTAGAGAAAAGACTAAACTGAAGAGATAGCAGATTTTTGTGGACTGATGTAAGTACGATTGAAAGTCTCATACCCCTGGACCTTGTGTGTGACGATGTTTGTAGGGATGAGGGTTTATCCCTTGGAAGAAGGAAGGGGTGTGGAGTGCAGATGCTACTTCAGAAAAGATCAAAGAAGCGTACAAATGGAGTTTTAGGCTTAATTCTGTCACCAGTTCCCTGTCTTGACAACTCGCTCATCTGGAAGATGAAGCATTCATGAACCTAAGTCTCTTGGAGCACAAACAATCCATGATTTTTATTGATGGCATTTGTTTAGGATTGATTATTGCAAAGAACTGAACTACCTGGGAATAAGACCTCGTCAGTCTTATTCTTTAGCAAAGAAAGTTATAGGCTGAGAGATGTGATGGATTGCAAGACACTTCTTCACCATCTGCTGTCATTTATATCAGAAAATTACTCCATTGTCAGCATGCGATTATTGAATATCTAGTTTGGTGCTTATGCGAGTACTAAGCATACAACATTCAATATACTCAATCTCACAGGAAAGAAGAAAAACAATTACTGTAAACAAGTATTGTTTGGATGTCTTGGAAATGTTTTCTCCCCCCAACCATTGTAGGGAAGTACACTTCATCTTCTTTTCTACCAGTAATGGCAGTCTCTCCTCTCATTAACTACCCTTCATGTTGATATAATTCAACCTAGCACCACAGTTCACAGACGCATGCTGGTACTGGACCAACCAAGATCCTCCTCCCAGATTTATTTTTTAATTTAATTTAATTTAATTTAATTTAATTTAATTTAATGTATTTATTTTGCAGTACTGAGGATTGAACCGAGGGCTTTGGCACTGGGCTCCAATTCCAGCATTTTTTAATTTCCTATTTTAAAATGAGGTCTCACTAAATGGCCAGGTTGGGCTTGAGTTTGTGATCCCCTTGCCTCAGTCTTCCAAAGTGCTGAGTTTACAGGTGTGTGCTGCCACAACCAGATTTTAAGATTGGGACACTGTACTCTATCTCTGGATGATATGTGGAATGTGGGTGCTGTAAGCATTTCTGGCTTTCCTTGTGAACTGACCAGCAGAGAAAGCCACTCTGTAGCCAGAGGGTGGAGCGGACCCCGGAGAGAGGAGGTAAGGCAGGAGGGAGGGAGGCTTCAGGTGGCTTGCGAGACCCTAGTTCTGGTCCTTCTTGTGCTCGGCCTCTCCTCTGTCTCTGAGTTCCATACAAGTCCCTCTATTGTGATGAGTTCCTTCCTTTGCTTGAACTGGTTAGAATTTTAGCAAGAGTATCCTGATTAACCTGACCTTCTAGAAGAAGGAGGGGGAGCTTTCCTGGTCCTCTGAGTGGCTAGGTAGCCTTTCCGTGAGTGTGGCGCATGCTTCTCAGGTTAATTTGCCATAATTTTTCTTGGATTTCTTTTTTTTCCTTGAATTTCTATATCAAACTTTTGCACAAAAATAAAGATTCCAATCTCTTTTTCAGTCAACAGTATGTTCATATAATCTCCTAACTATTCTTCCCCCAGTCAGCGATGTGCTTTTACAGAGTATTTAGATGTTGGGAAACCATGCAAACTCTGGTCTTCCTTATTCCTGTAAAATAAGTCATTAACTATAAAATTTCAACAAAGTATAAATACTCTTTATTCTTTTTGAATCCCTGTTTTTTGTTTGTTTTTTTTTTCTTTTCTTTTAGCTCTTTTTGTCTTAAACTCGTTCAACTTTACTGTCAGGTAAAGCTCTAATCTTTCCTTAGTAGCTTCTAAAAAAATATGTTCAGGGGCTGGGGATTTAGCTTAGTGGCACAGCACCTGTCCAGCAAGCACAAGGTCGTGAGTTCAATCCCTGGTACTGGAAAAAAAATATATGTTCATTCCAAAGTTCTCATTAGGATTTAATTTTTTTCTCTCTGTGGAGATGGCATACACTTGAGATGATACAAGAATACCCACTGGCACAAGGCAGATTACTTTGATTCTATTCTTACTCTAATAGCCTTTTGTTTTTGTGATTTGACTTTGACATTTCAATCAAAATGACAAAACAACAAATGGAAAAATAAGAGTAGCTTTTAGTTAACTGAATTTGTTAGCTTTAAAAGTGAATATGGGGCAAAAAAGGGTATCTGTCATGAGTGGCACATGCAGGGCAACTTGTCTGTCTTACGTGTGGAATCGACATCAAGAGATTTTGGATGCATAATTTTTTGGTACTTGGGCAGCTAGTGATCGTTAGTCCTGGCGCCCTTACTCTTTGTGATTAAAACAATGGTTCATTTTCTCCGTTTCTAAATACTCACAGTGTGGAAGTTTTTGGTATTGCTCACCTTTAGGACAAGGGTTTTTGTAGTCTGTATTTAACTTTGACTTTTGCAAAAAAAAAAAAAAATCTGGGGCCAGGGATATAGCTCAGTGGCATAAGTGCCTGCCTGGCAAGCTCAAGGTCCTGAGTTTGATTCCCAGTACCCCCCTCAAAAAAGAATATGACAATACCCATTTGTACAAAATAAAAATGTAAATGATTTAATATGTATAAAGAAAGACAACATGGAGCTAATAATGCCCTATGTGTATGACATTTGTGGGGACCATGTTTTATCAATCCTATGGTGCAATATACCTGAGATTTCCTAAGAGGTTAAAAACAGTACAAAAGATATCAAAATTATTTTATCTTGGGCTTTTTTTTATGATACTCTTTTCTGATATTTATTTAGTCAGATATGAGAAACTAATTAACAGAATGCATTTCTACATAAATGTTCTTATAGTCAATGAAAGACTATATATATATATATATATATATATATAGAAACAAAATATGAGAAAACAGTGACTTTAAAAATAAACATTTATGAATTTTAATATTATCTTTTATTATAATCAAGAACTCAAATATCTACTAGGCCATTTTCAATAAAAATGTATTGAGTTCATTATTTACATTTTTGCATAGGAAGGATGGTTTACTTATTTAAGCTATTTTTCTTTTTCTTTTTTTTTAATATTTTTTTTCTTTTTCAATTGTGAGAAGATGGAATGTTTTTTGTTTTTTTTTTTTTCCCTGTCTTTTTGAGACAGGGTCTTGCTATGCAGTTCAGGCTGGACTTGAGCTCACTTTGTAGCCCAGGTTGGTCTCGAACTCACAAGGATCCTCCTGCCTTAGCCTCCTGAGTGCTGGGATTGCAGGTGTGCGCCACCACACCTGTGACATTCATCTTTGAGCAGAGACCACATTAATCTTCTCTCTATGGCTCCAATTTTAGTGTACATTGCTGATGAAATGAGCTTGAGACCACTTATTTTGTGGGTACTATTTTCTTATTTGTCAATCTTAACCAATATTTCTGGCTTTATTTGTAGTTCTAATTAGAGTGTATCTAGATTTTTGGAGCACAAAATACCTACATTTAAACCAGAGATACCTCTAGCTCTTGATAAAACTTACCTTGAATTTCAATTACGTTGCAAGGTGGACATTAGTCTTGGGTTGTCTTACCTGGAACAATCATGTCCTGTCCAAGCTGAGAGACAATGGCATCGATTTGGTCTCACACATTTTCCACCATTTAAACACGGAACCTGGCAAGTAGCTGGAATGGAAAATTCAGACATTCAGTTAGTGAATGCTTAAAAGTCTCATTATATCACAGCAAGGGAGGTCCTTTCCTTCATTTAAAAAATTCATCTTTGGGGAGATATTAGTAAATATTGTTTCTTTCACTGGTCATTCATGAAATATGGGGGAAATACCTGCTAAGTGAGGACCACATGTTTGATAATCATAGCGTGAGGAGAACAAGAAGTAAAATACCAGTCTTTCTCCTGAAGGGGTGCTCTTGGTAAGTTAAAAGTGAAAGCAGGCCAACATATTTGCAATATAATAAGAAAGGAAATGATGAAACACATAGGATTAAACCCATAAAAAACCCAACTCCCCATAGTTTCTATTTGCTGATAAAAGAAAAAAATTACTTTTTAAACAGCATTTTGGTTTAGTGGTGCCTGCCTGTACTAATTAAGTACCCATTATTTCTACTTTTCTGTCTAAAAGCTTACTATTTCCCCATCCCCTTCCCTGCCATGTCAGTATTCTCAGTGTCCTATGAGTCACCTTCTCATGCTATGCATCTTCTGCAAAGTCTCATTTTCTCCTCCATGAATGTTATTGTTGATGTGGTACAATTCTCTATTTCCAATGTAGCTGTATGTTCAGGGCACCTAGACTATCACACAACTGCGTATCAGACCACTGGCTCTATATGTTCTGCAGATGCCTCAAACTGAGCACATGCATCCTTAGTGCCTTATCTAGCCCCCAGATCTGCTTCTCCTGGCTTCTATAACTCACCAGGTCTCATCACTGGGTCTAAGCTAGAAACAGCAATTTGGACATTTATCTCCATAACAGATATGTAACCACTTTGGATGGACTCTACTTACTAACATCTCCCAAAGGCACCCTCTTCTGATAATCACTTTTCCAGACTTTGTTAATTTTTTTGTTTTGTTTTGACATACCAGGAATTGAACTCATGACCTTGTGCTTGCCAGGCAGGCACTGTGTCACTGAGCAATATCCCCAGCTCAGACTTTGTTACATATTTCTTGTCTATTCTATTCTTTGACTTCCTAACTGATCTCTGTTGTCTTCTTCTCTGCCATTTTCAATACTGCTGCAAAATCACTTTTCTAAAAGAAAATCTGACTACATAATTTTCCTGCTTAAAACTTGATGCTGGCTTCTGACGCTCACAAATATAATCCAGTGTCTTGAACCTCACACACTTGCATTTCCTGATCTGACACTGCCGTCTTCACAACTTATTTTCCAGCCATGCCTCTGCATTTCCTTTGTGGCTTGTTTTCATCCCTACTTGGCTGACCTCCCTGTGCATGGTATGCTCCAGGCCCTTGACTAGAATGATCTTCACCTGCAAATCTTTTTGCTCTTCCTTGGATTCTAAGATTATGAAACCTTTTCTGAAGTTTGGCACTTGCTTATTTCACCCACTTTTAATGTTATCTTAGCCCATTTTATATAATTCAATTAACCCCTATCTTAATATATTCCAGGTGTATGTTTATAAGCCATCCTGCCTGTCCTCTTTTCCAGATTAAAACTCTGGAGGGGAAGAGCTTCTGTTTGATATCCTTTTGCAGGCTTAGTACCTAGGATGTCCAAGTAGAATATATGCACAGGTGCTGATGCAAGATTTTTAAGAAGGAGACTACATGGCCCTGTGACATTGGAAACAACTAAGGGGGTAAAAGACATACAAATACCTCAGATCAGTGGTGTTTTAAATTGCATGATTCTATGTAGCTGTGTAACAGCTATAGGAATTCAATGTTAGGAAATTGATTACTGTACTATGATATAAAAAAGTATGGAAATGAAGGGAAATGTAGGCCTTTGGAAGTTGAGTAAGTTTAGAGTAGGTGGCAAAAGGAGGGAGCCATGAGTAAATTCTAAGAGATAGAAGGGGGGCCCTTTCTCAGTAGAAGAGGGATCCCTGGAGGCACTGTGGAAGCCACCACTGCAGGGCTCAGGGTGTGATGGCGAGATGGGACGTAGGCTGTGTTTTCGTGGTGCTGAAGCCATCTGTGCAGCACCTTGGATGTCAGAAGAATTCAGGCTGGTTGCAGAGTCAACACACAACCATTCCAGGCTACTTTAAACAGGGCAAAGAGCACCAAAATCAATAGATAATGGTGCTCAGACTGGAAATGGAGTCAATAAAATCACCCAGTAGATTCTGAGATGAACTAGAGAAGCAGTCTTTAACTGGCTGGTGATAATAGTGTAAAGCAGGATGCAGGAGACACTGCACAGGTAGGAACAAAGAGAGGCACTGGGGTTTCTGATGAGGGAGAAAAGAATTGAGAAAGACTCACTCATGGGGAAAGATGGCACTGCCACCTCTAGTGATACTGTGCCTGGCAAAGGGAGGGGATGCTTTGCATATAAGTTCAATTGTTTTTTGTTTTGAAACAGGGTCTCGCTATGCAGTTCAGGCTGGCTTTGAGCTCACGTTGTAGCCCATGCTGGCCTTGAACTTGCAATAATCCTCCTGCCTCAGCCTCCAGAGTGCAGGGATTACAGGCATGTGCCACCACGCCTGGCAATAAGTTCAATTTTGGATGCAGGAGAAGTGAAGAACACAAAAGTTGACTTGTTATAAACAAATACTACAGTCGGGCGTGGTGGCGCACGCCTGTAATCCCAACACTTGGGAGGCTGAGGTAGGAGGATCGTTGTGAGTTTGAGACCAGCCTGGGCTAAAAAGTGAGCTAAAGCTCAGCCTGAACTTCATAGTGAGACCCTGTCTCAAAAAGACAAAAAATAAGCCCCCTGGGCCATGCCCTGACTATAAAGGTGACCACTACAGTTCTAACTGCCCTCTGAACTGAAGGCCCCAGAGCTCAGACCCCTCCTACCTGCTGCTCCAACAGGAATGAAGGGGCCCAGGGCATACTCTGCCTTCTCCCTCTGGCCAGACCGTTATCTTCAAGGAGAAGCCCACATAATCATGACTATCGAGGAAAAAATAAAAGCCTATTGCTGGACACTGGTGCTGATCTGTCGGTCCTTCTTTTCAATCCTGGCCTTCCTTCCAGCTGTCACACCTCAGTGAAAGGAGTCACTGATGAGGAGGTAATGGCTATTTTTCACAGCCCCTAGGCTATAACTACTTGTTAGATCTTTCTTGCATATCTTTGTTTTCCTGAGAAACCACTTTGAAGATACCAACATGTATTACAGCAGCCATTGATAATTTCCTACCAATCTGTCCATAACTCTGTAATGTTTCTATGCTATTGTTCCTATGCTATTTAGTAAATGGATGTGTGTTTATTACTATGTGTTTTCAACAACAACCATTGAGAATAGTCAATGATTATTTAACTGATCACTCATGTATAGCTCTATTTGTTTCCCCTAGAAACCACTTTGAAAAAACCAAAGCATAGTACAACAACCATTGATAATTTCCTACCACTTTTTGTCTGTAACTCACTATTATTTGTCTATTTGTTTTCCTGAGAAACTATCTCGAAGATACCAATAGGTAAAATAACAACCATATATTGTCCTACCACTTTGTCTGTAATTCGGCAAATCCCCCTATTACTATGTTATTCTTCTTTTACTCTTTTAAATAAAAAAAGACAAAAAATAAATAAATAAACAAGCACTACATAAATTTTGTGAAATGCCTCAAGTAAATGTTTCCAATTTAGCCTGTAGGATGTTTTTCCTTATTAATATTCCTGGATGGCCTGGTTTGCACATTAGCTAGGGTGACTACATATCTGATTTTGCCCGTGACACAGTATCTTTCATTCCTATTTCCCTGATTTATTCACTTTTTGTCTTTTTTTTTTTGGTACCGGTAATCAAACTCAGGAACTTGTGCTTGTCAGGCAGGCGCTTGTGCCACTGATCTATATCCCTGGCCCCTTGATTTATTTATTAACTGTGCCCCTTTCATGCTCGAAAAATGTCCTGGTATGGACAGTGAGTCACATGGTCAACGGGCCTTAGAAGCACCGCTGTGAGCAAACTCACTGTACTTTAAATTTTACCGCACTAAGGAGGTGGTCTAAACATTTTAACAGCGGGATAGTGGGGTATAAGAGTTCACACTAAAGAAACACAGCAATTTCTATTCTGTTAGCAAGCTGTTTCAAGTTTTAGACTATTACCAAGGTAAAAAAAAATCTGTCATTTTAAGTTGATTTGTACGATACTTAGTGAAAAACCTAATATATTCTGGTTCTGTGCTGGGCATCCGGGATGTAAAGATGAAAAAATATCTCCACTCAAAACTGGCATATAATCTCATGGGGGTGTACATAGAAATCAAACAACTACACAGATGTTCAAAAATAGTGGGCTAAATATTATATCTGAGGAAAATAAAGGCGGGGCGTTGTCACCAATCTATCAACATAGTTTGTTCTATTGTCCACAACGAGGCGCCATCCTTTTAATGATACTTTTCCCCCTTTTAACTAAAATTGTCTTTATTTTGGCCTTGTTCTTCCTAAAATGTAACAGTGAATTTAGTAGTTTAGTTTCATAGAGATTAAATCTTCTTCTGAACTTCTATATCTCTCTCCATGCTGTAAGAGTCAACATAGATGCTATTTTCTGTATTTTATTGCCTTTATTATTATTATTTTTTTGGTCCTTAGGCACGAATGCAAGGGCTCACACTTGCTAGGAAAGTGCTCTACCATGGAGCTACACACTTAGTCCAGAGGCTACTCTTTATCTTTTTTTTTGTCTTTTTGAGTCAGGGTCTCTCTATGCAGTTCAGACTGGCCTTGAGCTCACTTTATAGCTCAGGCTGGTCTCGAACTCACAATGATTCTCCTGCCTCAGCCTGCTGAGTGCTGGGATTACAGGCGTGCACCACCAAACCCGGCCAGAGGCTACTCTTTGGCACCTGCCCCTGAAAGGTGTTTTTCAGACAGTGATTCAATTTTGGGTTGAGACCACCAGCCGAAGGACCATCCAAAGAGCCATCTTGAAAAATTCTTGAGAATCTTTGACACCTTTTTGCTTCCACACCACCTCTGAGATTGAGTTATAGTTTTCCATGTCTCCTGGTGCTTTGTGGGAGCAAAGCACCAAGAAAACCAACCAGGAGAGGAAGCCTACCTGTATGACAGCGGGTCCCAGTCCATCCAGGTGGGCAGTCACACTGGTAAGGAGCCACACAACGACCACCATTCAGACAGGGGAGAATGCATATTGCTAGAAAAAAGTGATTGAAAATTATTTGACCAAAATACACATGCTCAGCTATTTCAAGTGTTCACAAACTTTTTCCAGGAAGAAGAATGAAACCATGCAGAACCCTGCAGAGAATTTTCCTGTATGCCTTCTGCTTATTAATGAGTATCACTGGGAAAACACACTCAGGAAGTTAAGTCTGAATCCTCAGCCAGATGTACTATTGACTGTAATGCCAAATGCACTTTTTCAGTGAGGACACAGGAATGGATGCTTATTCAGTGCTTTGCTTCAGCTCTTCTCCACATAAGCAGTATGGCCTCCATCTATTGTCATTTCAAATTTCCATTACAAATTATGTAAAATGCTGTAAGAAGGTTTGGCTCTCTTGAGGCTGTCTTCTTGTAATAAATGTGAGAATGGGAATCTGATGGGCTTTTCTGTAAGCAGGGAAAGCAAAAGCATTTGCAACTGTTCAATTAGGACAACTTTTCCTTCATTTCCTAGAAATTGTGGGCTGATTAAAATATGTCTCCCCAATACTCTGCAGAATAATCATCCCTCCTAGTAGAAGAATCAGAGTTTGTTTAAAAGATGTGAGATCGTTTATCGCTTTATTGCACTCAATGTGTGGTTCTCTAAGCAGCAGAACTGGCACTGACTAGGAGCTGGTTAGAAATGTAGAATCTCAGATCCCAACCCAGATCTTCTGAATCTGTATTTTAGTAGCCTATCTCAGATCATATGTATTTATGTGGGATTCTGAGAAAGCCTGGTCTTGTGGAGGAGGGCAGACATATGCTCAGTCAGGTCTATAGGTGGAGTACTTCAGAGTAAATATTCTTGAGTCTTTGGACTCTTGGCATTATATAACAGGGTAAGCCTGGGATCTGCAAGTGAAAAGGAGTGGTTGAGGAGAGGGGGGAGGAAAAATGTGATTTTTCTTCTTTCTCAGTCATTGTGCAAATACCTGCTTTGATGAGTTGTTAGTAGCCTAAGTTTATTTCTAGTATACAATTTCCTTTACAGATCAAGTCACACCTAACAAGTTTGAGAGCATCATAAAATACCTAGCTTTCAGAAAAAACTAGACCAGCAGCCATCACATTAATTATACAATGGTTTATATGTATGACTCCCAATGAAATCTGATACTTTTATCTTTTCATACTGACACTGAAGCATTACAGTTTAAACATTAAAAAAGTTTAAACTACTTATTTACACCCCCATGGAAGCTGAAGCTCAACGTATTTTTACAGGAATCAAAATTCTATACTAATTTGCCAAGTATTGTTGTATAGATCATAAGTACCACTTTCCTTATGCTGTGATTTATATCTGGATTTCCCTCCTTATCCTCCTGGGATCAGAGGCAGGGCTTGTGGAAGGTGACTGGATTATGGGGAGTAGGCTTGGTGTTGGGAGATAGGGCCTGATTGGAAGAGAGGAGTCCCTGGGGGCATGGCCTGGTAGGGCCTTACCTCCCTCCCTGGTTCTTCCTTTCAGTCTCTGCTTCCTGTTCCCCATGACATGAGCAGCTTTCCTCTGCCTAGGTCCTTCCACCATGCCGCTGACCATGCAAGGGCTAAAATATGTGCTAAAATAAAGCTTTAAGTTGTGAGTGTCAGATATTTTGTCCCAACAGTAAGGAAAAGGGCTTCTATATTCTCGCCCCTGCCTTGCACTAGGAATTGAACTCTGGGTCTTTGCACTTAACTTCATGTTTAGCTTTTTTATTTTAATTTTTGTTTTGAGACAATGTCTCACTAAGTTGCTAAATTGCCCAGGCTGGATGGACATAAATTTGCTGAGTGCCGGGATTTACACGCACCATGCCCAGCTCCTCACATACTTAATTAGGAGGAACTATTCCTAATGACAGAGTGAGTGGTGGGCTGCAAATATTCCCTGCAAGGTTCAGTGTTATCCAAGGCCATGCACTTACACCAAGTGAACCAATGGCTGGCATGGTGCACAGCAGACCTGGGCTAAGGGAAGAAGAGGCCTGGAGGACTCCTTTATAAGCTCCTCCCCATGAAGACTCTTTTAAATGCCTGCCAGGAGGCACGTGACAATAACTTCAGATGGATCTGGACAATTGCATTTCAAAGTTGTTAATATTCCAGGTCTTCTACAACCTATTGACATTTTAGATCAGTCCTATGCGCTCTGTGTACTTCAAAGATTTAAGTCAGCAGATTCTTTCTGGCAGTGAAGTCAGTTTCTAGGCAAATTATCAGGGCCCAAAGTAAGATTTGAGGACAGACTTACGCTCTTCACAGAGACGGCCCATCCAGCCATCTGGGCAGGAACAAGCATTGGGGCGCTGGCAGACACCTCCATTTTGACATGGGAATCGACAGACAGCTGAAAAGGAAGCAGGAAGAGTCATAAACATAGGGAATTCTGCAAGGGTGGTTGTCAGACAAAAGAGTGCTCATTCACAGTTTATTATATGTCCTTGGCTCAAGCTTTAAGGAAGAAAAACAGAACAAAATCTCAAGAGGAAATGTCAATATCTAGAGAAGTATATCCAGAAAAGTAAACATTAGTTGTCACCATTACAGTTGCCCCTAGCTTTATTGAGGTATAATACATAAATAAAAACTGTGTATATCTAAGATTCACATTAGGGTGACCTTGAACTCACTACATACCCCAGGCTGGCCTCAAACTCTCAGATATCCTCCTGCCTCAGCCTCCCATGAGCAAGAATTACAGATGTGGGTCACCATGCCTAGTCTTTCAGTGTCTTCTATCTTTTAAAAAAACTCCCTCGCTTTACATTTCTCCAAATAACCCCACATAAATACATGCAAGTCAACTAGTTTATCTCAGAGTCAGTAATGATAGTGAATTAATACTCTGCCCCCTTTCCCATTCAAGCTCTAAAGAGTGGTTTGCCCTTGCTTTCATTATGTCTTAGACTCCTCCTTACTCTTCCGACTATAGTACTCTAGCGTCAGCTGTCCACACATCCTTAAATGACTCCAGTTTACCCACTCTCATCTCACTAACCAAGCCACCAAGGGCCCTGGTTCTAGCTGCTCTTTTACTTGTCCTTCCTGAGCATTAGCCATGGTTGGCCATTTTTCTCTTCTTTCCAAAAATATCTCTTCCTTTGTATCCTGGGCCACTCATCCCTTCTGGTTTTCTCTCACTTTGCTGGATCCGCCCTCTCCTGTCCCTTCCCTTTCATTCTTTTTTTTTTTTTCTGATATCTATTGGTTTATTGAAAGGAACAGTGAATGCTTAAATTTTTTTTCTTGACCAATTTTGCATGCTTATATCTGGTAATCTGAACTAATTATTTTAATTTTTATTTATTTTAAAGAGAGTTTTAAAAGGTCGTTCTTGTTTTTGCTTTGTTTTGTTTTCCTTCTTGATGTGAAAATGATAGTGTTACTCAGAGTCCCTTCCCTGGACTTCTCACCTATTTCTCTATGAGGAAGGGCTGGGAGGGCGGAGTTTGAAGGATACAAAGTAGCAGATGGATACCATAAACCAGCTGGGAGATCTAATGTTAAATAAGAGGATCTTAAGTAATAACACTGTGTTGTATTTTAAAGTGTAGCCCAAATGAGTAGATTTTTAGGTGTTCTTGCTACAAAAAAGGAACTCTGTGTGATGATAGATATGTTAATTTTCCTCCATACAACAACCATTTTACTATCTACATGTATCTCATAATATCATATTTCTTAAATATACACAGCACCTTTTTATATAAAGGAAAGTACAGAAAGCCCCAATATACTTTTCTGGCTCATATCTTTGACTGCTATGTGAAAAAAAAAAATCCTATGTGAGATTTCAACACGATATTCAGAAGGACATCTCAAGCACGTATATATCTCGAGTATGTATATGTAGGTGGGCAGATAGATATAAAATATATATTCCTATATGTTCTCATTTAGAAGACATGGAAAATGCTTATCTTCTTATGCAGAAAAATGCAGAGTACAAATAAATACACTATTCTCTAATTCCCTCTGCCTCTATTCAGAATGCCCTTCTTTCTTTTCTCTCCCTGGATAATGGCTTTAAGACCTAACACCAGGTTTAACATTCCCTACTAAGCCTTCCCAGGTATTCCCACCCCCCACATGAGGACCGGTCAGCTTTATCCACAAGACGGGCTCTCATCTCTTTGATGCTA